TCTGGTAGCTGTGCTCGTAGCTATGCAGCTTGGGCGGTGTGTGGGCAGAATTTGGTGAATCACAGAATCAAACATTCACGATGCCTAACGTATAGGTATACCCAGCTCCTCATAGACCTTTTTGAAATGAGGGCAGCCCAGACATGGTTGACAACATCTTGGTACAAATAGCTTCGAAAATGATCTCGGGCCAGCTCAAGCAGCATTTTCATGCAACATGGTGCAACTCCTCGCCCCTCAGAATGGAATCGGGTTGCACCAATACCATCTCCGCCCAGCACTTTGAGTGTTGTCGTCATTAAACACCATCTGATGCCTGTCCACTCTCCGAGAGGCGTCAGTTGAAACACTCAGCTGAGGTAGCAAGACAAAGACTGCTGTACACCAACCTGCAACTAAGAGCAGCTATGCTGCCCATAATCAAGGGAATTGCTAGCAGTCTGTCAATCTTTATGTCTGTACTTGATAAGTTTCCCTGTTGAGTCACATTAAGTTGCATTGCAAACTCCACCTCTCGTGCTGCTCTTCCGCCCATTCCGTTAAGTTCAAACCATCCCTAAACCGTCCGCTCACATCCTTGAAAGAGTCCCCTGGCTGCTAGGCCCTAGGCGCCTTGCAAGTGCCGCTACTCGTCACTACCGCGCCCAATGGTGTGTGCCTTGTGTCCGAGTGTGGGAGGTCTCACCAGTGATCAAACAGGTACACAGAGGTGTTTTGGCACCAACACCCAAAATGGTGGGAAACCCCAAAAGTACCAACTTTTCGAGGGGCTCAGGCACCTAACTAAGAGTGCATGTTGATACACAGTACACACCACACCACAATTGGTACTGTGAGAGGATCTTTATCTGGGGCAGGATTCGTCTGTGGTGGGAATGTAATTTTGCATTCATGTTTTGTCCGTTATCCTGTTGACTTGCCTTCAGCCCTCAATATCCTGGACGGAAACTCTATATGACTCTATATGTACATATCTGACTGAACTGTAAGGTGCACTCAACGGGTGACAACTGTTGAATGGGTTCCTGAATGAACTTTGAAGAATATTGCTGTTTGGCCCGAATTTGCTCAAGGGAGCTTCAAAATGTGCAGCCTCAACCAATCACCCTGCTGGCTGTGCGTTCTGTTTGGAGAAACTCACCAGGAATCTGGGCGAACATTGACAGGGTTTGACATTTGAGATGTTCAGAGGATAGAGCCAAGTTGGCCACATTGAAAACAGCATCCCCCCCAAAACATCATCTTCATAGCGAGTGCAGGGCGCCACAGCTACAGTACAGTACTACAGTACATCCACTGGCCTTCAAGGAGAATGATGCGGCTCAAGACCCCCCAAGACTCAGCCGGGAAAAGAGTGAACCCCGCTGACCCCCACGAAGCGGCAAGACATTCAGCCTGCTGACCTGGCAGCCTAAAATGCAACAGTTTGACCTTTCAGCTCTTAGGTCTTCCCCCCCTTCCCCACCTGAGGTTTGGTGCCGGATCCGTTCAAAATCAATTCCAAAATGGACTCCCAAACTCCCCGGTTCATCGCCACAGTGCCCGTAGGGCGAAAAGGAAGGCACTGCCTGGCAGGCCACCATGGTGCTGCCAGAGGGGCATGACACCTGCCGGCCCCGGCATGACACCGCGGTTCGACCGCGAAGTAAGGGAGAGAGCCCGTCGAACGGAGGGCGGATGGTGACCCATCCGTCGAGGGTGAAGGCCATTTCGAGAAGCGGTGAAGTGACGAACTGACGAAATGGAACAGCGAGATGAAGCGAGGACCCCACGGGCCTCTATACTCTACATGACTCTATATGCCCCCCCAGCCGGTGGTCTTGCGTTGAGTCTCCTCTCATCTTCCCCTCTGTGCCCCCACCTCCTCGGGGCAATGCGCCCAAACGCTCGTGGAGAAGCCACCACAGCCCCATCCTCAGTGCGCGCGCTCCAAGCGTGGGCAAAACAGCTTGGCGAGTTGAGGAAGAACCAATCTCCCAAGAACAGCTTGGCCGAAGAATCGAAGTGTTTTTTGGTTGATTGGTCAGAGGTCTAAGGTGGGGGTTGATGTGGCTCAACTAACCGTTTGGCCACAGCTATACAGGAAGAGAAAACGCTGTGCTCCCCGCATCTTTCTTGAAAACTCGCCACCCTTGCAATCATCTTGAGAACATGTCACCCATATACATGTAAGAAACCGAAACACATGGGGTAAACAGTATCCTGCATGCCCAGACAGACAGACAGCCAGACAGACAGACAGACAGGCAGACAGACAGACAGCCAGACAGCCAGGCAGACAGGCAAACGGCAAACAGACACAGACAGACAGATCATGAGTCTCATGAGTTGAAAACTACAATCACACCCGTTCCTCTATTTGTCATGCCCCCTGCTGCAGCCAAGGCTTCCACTGCTGTAGGCGGTCGTGAGGCCAGTCGTGACCGAAGCCTCGGCCTTGACGTTAAAGTAGATGGCATAGCGGACCCCGGACAACAATCCTCCGCGCGTTGAGTGAGTGCCTCTCGGTCTCCCTCTCCCTCTCTCTCTATCTCTATCTGTGGATGAAGGAAAGCATAATGTGCACTTGCAGTTCAGGGATCTCGTGATAACTACAGTCTTGCTGTGCTCATCAATATTCGTCAATAATAACGTACTAAACGACCGGTGCCAGCACATGCTGGACAGAAAGGAACAGCAGGTTCAGGTGTGAAGGACGTCAGTTCCAGGGAGTCTGTATGATGGGGTTGGGTCTGTTGATCTTCTCTGACCTAAACAGGCGATTGGAGATCCGTTCAAGCAAAAGCCAGGTGCTTCGGACAGGAGTTGGGTCTCGTTCCGTCATGTCGCACGGCCGGGACCTGGGCGGAACTTGAGACTTGCGGGACGGGTGAAATATGGGGTTGCTACCCCATCCTGAAATGGCGTCAATGGTGAATTTCAATGAACAAAAAGGAAAGACTGGGGAGATCTTGAACTAGCTTCCACCGGCTGTGGGTGGATCCTTCCGGTGGTATCAACTGGCTAGCCTGCCTGCAGATTTTGGAGGATGCCTGAAGCTCTGAAGAGTTTGTTGGCAGTCGTTGGTAGTCAAGATTGTCAATAACCGCAATAACCCCTGCTACTAGTATCCAATATCATCCAATGGCACAATGGTGTTTAGACTGGGACGATCAACTATCACTGGAAGCTCCAGCCAGGACGACGTCCTTGGAGAGTTTCCGACTTCGTAGCACCTGGCGCGAAAGTCCGCCAGGGAATTTCCTACGAGACATTCCACAAAGGTCGAGAACGAGGCAGAGTTCGGGCTCGTTCGTTTTCTGAAACGTCGGGTGTAAGTGGAAGAGTCCATACTCATGCGAGTAGCGAGTGCAAGCCAATTGGCATGACAAGATATATTGGGTGCCAGAACTTAATTAAGTGTGAGTGCCAGGACAAATCTTGGGTGATCCTCTGCTTCTCGGAGCATCCACCCAATAAAACACTCGAGTAAGCTCCCTGTCCACGGGGGTCGCAGGGGTTCGCTTGGGCTCTTGGACCTGGATGGGGAGGAGCACCGGTCAACATGAAAAGAACCTACGAATCTACACTGGATCCTTTGGATAGATTTGGGTGCTCCTCGCAGAATTTGCTAGTGGTGATTCTTTGGGGATTTAACAATACATTAACTGGAGGAGAACCCCTCACGTTCAGAGAAAACATCCTCGCTGAGCAAACTTGAGGTCTCCTCAGTCTCCTCTCCTAGTCAACACCAAGCCTGATGGATGGGGTGATCCCCAAATCATCCACATTCGTGATCAGCAAGGACCTAGCTTTCATGGACACTACTTTGGCTCATGCCAAGCGTACCCCACACGTACCCCCACGTCCCCATGCACGCACTCGCGCCATCGCTCCATGGCATGCCTCCAGCCAAGGTCCATTCACCTGTCAAGGACACCACCTGCGTCCGTTGCTCGAAGTTGCATTTGCCCGCATCTCCTGCTTCCGCATCGCAGTGTCGATGATGCAACTGAATCGAACAAGGGCCCCGTTGCGTGGTGTTTATGTCATTTTAATGAAGGAATCCCATCACTGATGGAAAAATGCGTCTCCGATGACACTGAGCATGACGACAATAGTATAACTGTTCTATCATAGTCCAACTGCTCCAAAATGTGAAAACAACCATATTGCTTCTCTCTATCGCGGAGTGCTCTGCCCAGTGAGGCCAGATGTTGCTCCTTCTGCTGATGGGTCCGTCACGTCTGAGAAGGAACGTCGATGAAATCTCTAAGATCTCGGGGGATCGAAAAAAATCATCTCTGAGATGCTGGTGAATTTCTTGATGCTTCTAGCCTGAAATCGAAGAAAAAACATGAAGACGTTACATCAAACTCACTCTTCTGCAGTCCTATTCAGTGAATATATCAAAGAAAAAGAAAGCAGATCTGCAGATCTCTTGCAAGATTAGCTAAGACTGATCACCCCACCGGCCCCGGCGCAGCTCAGCTTGGCCCGTCCTTTCCACCCCAGCCGCAGGTTGTTGTCGCCCCAGGTCGTGGCCCCGAAGGCGAAGCCGCTGTCGCGCTGCCGGCGACGCCGGTGCCAGGTCTCCATGGGGTCGGTGAAAAGGATGTCCACCTGGAGGTGGCCATGACGTTGAATGGAAGGATATGGAAGGTGTGCCCCGAAAATTCGACCAAAGACATGCAAGCAGATGCAAAGCAAATGGATTTTGGCAAATGCTCCCTGGGAAGTTCAGGCAAAGGTAAGTCTCTGTAGAGCCGTAAGGAAAATATGGATAGCACAACAGAAATAGCCAGTACGTAGGTACTCTTTCATTCTGACCCCCAACCCGTCAAAGAAGCGATATAGGATGGGCAAATTATCTAAATCATGCTACAATATGTTTTATATATTATATTATATTATATCTGATATTATATTGTATTATATCATAGCATGTTATATTATATTATATTGTATATACTATGTATAGCTATATATTATATTATGTAGTACATCATGTTTTGAAATATATATATAATATATATATATATATATATGTGACCCAAAACACTGACAAAATACCGTGGCCACGCGTTTCTGAGAACGACTGGATCTGCTTTTGCCGTTCCACGGCGAGCGGCAGCGACACTGCCAGACTCGGTGGCCAAGCAAAGGCCATTCCAGTACCTGGCGGCGTGGCAGGCAGCTGTGGAGAAGAGGCAGCTGTGGGGGGTTCTGCTTGGTCACCTGCTTAGGGTAGCAAGCGCAAAGTCTCGACTGCTGGCTGTGCAGAAATAAACAAATGGTATCAACATGTATCAACTTGCAAGTTGAGTTCCAGCGTCGAACATGGATGAACTCAAGGTCGAAGAAATACTTCAGAGACTCTGACTGAGGTTGGCTTTGTAAGCCAAAAGCAGGTTCGATCCCTGAGCAACGTTATCTCCAAACCTTCCCACACCATGTTGGATGCGCGGCTCAGCTGAGTCACTTGATCTCAACGGGATGGCGCTTCAACCACCAGCGCTCCTATTGGTGCACCAAATGGAAGAAATGCAACAAAAGAACAGTTTTTACGGAAGAAAGTGGATGTCTCAAAAGAAAGTTGATGGTCTCAAGTACAAATTCTGAGATATGCGTTAAGTCAGCATTGCTTTTGAACTCCTCCGCTGTTGAAGATTCGATCTACTGTACATGCTTCAGTAATGTTTCATCAATCGAGGGAGGGAGGGAGGGAGGGAGGGAGGCGACTACTCACCAGGGAATGGATTTCAGTCATGATGTTAAGTTGTCACTCTTCGTTTCCCAACGACTTCGTGTTATGCCCTCTTTGGAGCGGTATATCATGTGGTGTTTCCTTGCTTGGCTTGAGAAAAGGGTGGCCCAGCTCTCTGTTCGAGCTGTGTAAGATCATGTCAAGGTGTTGAAGCTTCGAGGATCGATGCTGTAGACCCCCTGAAAGGTAATGAGGTGAGCTTGGGGAGCATTGTCAGTGATGTGCCACATCATTGGATTTTGAGAAAGCGCCTGAGAGATCCTGGAGTAACTAGCACATCTGGATGGCCCTATCCCACTTGAATTGTCATCAAACGACAATAAAAAGGATCCTTTGCCCTGGCTAGAAGTTCATGGGAAACAATCCTAGTTCAGCCCCATGCTGCTCAAGGTGACAAAAGTTACAGCAAAAGTCAATGCAGTACTTCGATATCGGAATCATCATGTGTGCAACTCTTCCGCTTGGACAGCTTGCTGTCATCTCTGTGTTTCATCGCCTGTGATTCTTCGGGTTGAGCAAAAATCCAACCCATCAAACAGGACCAGATCTCCTGCTGCGAAGCTTTCAAGTGCTCCAACAAGCTGTCGGAGGCCGTGGGCCTGAGCGCTCTGGGGTCAGTCCAGAGGCTCAAAGGGCTTCGTCCAGTCGGTCCAGAGGTTCAAAGGGGTTTCGAGGTACCAGAAAAAAGTCTTCCAGAAGACTTTAAGGTGTCTGATCTAAGGCTTCTAAGGATGATCTAAGTGAGTTGTCCAGTATTTCTTCTCCAGAAGCACTTGAATTTGCTGTCATTCTCTTGAAGACCCGGCGACGCGGCTGCAGGAAGTGATGCGCCGTGGGTGTCCATGCGCTGTGGGTTTCGCACTTCCACGAATTCCATGGCAACACACCAGAAACCCCCCCATAAAGGGTGCCATGGCAAAGCAACAACAACAACAACAACAACAACAACAACAACAACAACAATAACAAAGAACAAATGAAACTAAGAATCCCCTACAAGCCACACGCATTGGCTTGTTGGAAAGAATCTGGCCCAAAAGTGAATTCCAGTCACACGTGATTATACCCAACAAAAAGCAGCACATTGAATGAGACCATGTTCTAATGTTCCACTGGTCCTCTTCATCTTCAGTACCTTTGTGGAGAAGTTCACGGCTCGTCTACCCCTCGAAGGTGTTGTATGCGTTTGTCAGGCATGGGATACAATTGGATGACCTCCATTTACAGAAACCCCCTGGTTTTTGCTGGTGGTTTCAAACCCTATGTTGGGATATCTTTGGTGTGAGCTTTGGATGTCGTGCCACCGTCGCCGCTACCACAAGCCTTGGTCCCACCTTCAAACCAAGACAAAACCCTTGGCTGAAGCACGTCGCACGTGCGCAGGCCACACATTGAAGAGCCACGAGGCCGGGTCCTCCTGCAAGGCCAGGGTCTACACGCACAAGGAGGGCAACCTCTGCAACCTGCCCCTCCCCGTGAGACCAGCACCTTCAGTTCGTGAAACAAGGGAGATAGGCCTGGGACAATGATGTTCATTGGGGGGAAAATCAAGAAGGATGATCCCAGGTACCATAGACCTGTTGGTTGTTCACGGGGGGTATCCCCCCCCTAAGAATTTACCCCGGCGTAGGTCATGCCATCCATGGCAAAGTTCTGAGAAGGCCTGAAAGCGATGCCATGTGCAAAAGCAGGTGGCTTCCGACTGCATGGATGTTCACCGAAAAGGATCAGTTTGTCCACATGACAAAAGACGACTCACATGGTCCCTGCTCGTCCGAACCATGCACTCCGGATATATATATATATATATGTGAACAAATGATGCGTTTACCTCATGATGCTCACCTGTCCCATTTGTCTCAGGTGCTGCACTGGCCCTGGATTTCCGCCACCCGTCCCACTGCAAGAGTAGGCTCCTTTTGTATCTACCCAACGGCCATCCTTGGATGCGAGACAGTGACGCCCGGATTCTCCGTGAACCGTCCCGCTTGCCACGCTGCTTGCGACCGTCTGCAATGAACGGCAATCAACAGCTTCTCCGGTTTGCACGTGCAAAGAACGGCCGAACAGGTGGTTTGGTTGGTGCACAGGCTTCGTATGAAAGGCCTCTATTTATCTCGATTTCATATACCTGATCCCTTGTATGAAGCGAATCTTGCTGACATGCTCGAATCGTGCATGAGACCCAAGGGGAAGGGTTCCTTGAGAACGCATTCTCTTCAATTGGTCACTCTTTCGAACCAACGTAGCTGTATATCTTCAGAGTGCTTTGCAAAACGATTTCCAACATGGCTGGAGCAGTTGGGGGCTAAGGTAGGCTACTGTATGTCCTCATGTCCCTTCCTCGCCTTTCTGCGCCACCAAGGTTTTGGTGCTGCCCTGCGCCTTTTGCATGGAAAACCATCGTCATCGGTGGTTTTGTGCGGCCCAGCGTCTTGGCAAATGATCTCCTCCGTGGCCTTCGCCGCTCCCGAGAAGCGATCCAGCCCCGAGAAGCCATGGCCGCACCGCACGTGCAGCGAGGCGCCTCGCGGCGGCCGGATGTGGAGGGTAGAGAGGTGTGTGAAGGATGGAGAGATGAGGAAAGGGGTGATCATCGTGGATTGGAGTGGAGGAGCGCTTGGTTGATGATGATGATTAATATTCTTATTCTTCTTACTGCTTATATATATTAACTATATGTTGCTTAAGGCGTACATGGACCACGATGGTAACAATGATTTGCCAGAAGTGGGACCATCTTCAGGTCTCTCTTCACTCACTCTCACCCACTGCTCAACTGGCTCGCCTGAGTCGAAGCTCGGCGGCAGCGGGCGCTTCAGCTTTGAGTAGATCACAGCTGGGTCCGAGGCCAACATATGAGTGCACTGGCCACATTCCTCATCTTCAGACTCACTCTGGCTCTGTCAGTCACAAAGTCACCCCTCGAATCCTACTCCCAACACGTGTCCATGGCCTATGGGAAGATCAGTACCAACACACGCAAGGTCTATGTCTATTTGGTGTGTTTTGGAATTAGGACTGTCATAGAAATACAGGAAAGTCGACCGATCCTCAACAAGGATTCTCCAGCAAGCGGGTATCTGATGAAGGTCCATGGATACACGACCTACGTGCTTTCTGCGAAGCTGGCTTCACCATGCTTCGCCCACTTGGTCCCGTGGGGCAAGAGCACACCAGGCTGGTGGAGGAAGAATTCTGTGCCAAGCAAACTGGACATAGCGGCCTGTGTAACGAAAAGGCCCAAGCAAACCCCTGCCCGGCCGGCGCACAAAGAAGTGCAGCTCAGAAACCCCCTGGTTATGATCATAAGTTATTCGTGACCCAATTCCGTCCAAAACAAAAAAAACAAGTCTCACAGTGAGGCGAACGGACATCATGATCATTGCTTCCATGATCTTCCATTGGTCTCAGTTGGTACCCACCTCATCGGTGAAACCCCGGTCTCCCCGGTCTCCGTCGCTCTCTCCGTCGAAACCCAGGTCTCGGAGATCCCGTGTCCGCCGTGGATGAGGATGGCATCGCACTGCTGCAGCAGCGGCTCGAACAAACCTGCAGCAGCTGTTCGTCAGCCGACGGTCGGTGGACGGTCGGTCTCTGACGGGTGGACGGTCTTCGGATATCCGGGGAGGTTGAGACAGGTTGTAGAAATGACCTGCAGGGTTTGACTGAGTGCTTTTTGTTTGACTCTATTGGATGACACAGGCTATGCTGCTATGCTGCTTGTCTTGAAAGAGAGAGAGAGAGAGAGAATGAGAATGAGAATAGTTGCTGAGCTCCATTGGCTGAGTTTGCCTTTTCGGTGGTGAGCCAATGGGCATTGGCTGCTAGATCCATGCATTTGGTCAGTGGTCCGGCTCATTATATTAAATGTATGCTTCCTGCTGCGTCCTCCAAGTGTCTGGGACAAAGGTGTTTCGGATTTTGCATTGCTCACACAAGCTCCCAGCACGCAGTGTTGAAGAACCCCCACAGGTCCCTCTTTGTTTCGAGAAAATCCGGTGGCACTCCTCGCGTGGCATTCGCATGGGGATGGCTTTGGCATGTTCGTCTCCGGTCTTGCAGCCGAAGTGGCAGTCTCCAAAGCTGTCCACCTTGAAACGGAGATTACATCGAGGACAACGGAGTGAAGACTGAGTGGCCCAGAAGACATGTCTGCTTTTTTTTCGTATCCCAGATGGATTTCTGAAGGCTCCCTAGTATTGGAAGACATCTAAAGATCCTATCTATAGCCGCCAAAAAACAGCAGGGCTTGCATGCATGTGCATGCATCTGCTACTTGGACAGTCCCTGAGATGTATTGCCTCCATAGGCCAGTCCCATCCACGGAGAGATGCCCCCCTTCCGAGGGCTCATCTTTCACATCACAGCCGACATCAAAGTCATCGACGGCGTCTCTTGACATCCGTGTCTTCCACAATGGACCGGGAATCTGAATGATCCATGCAAGGCAATGAGCAACTTTCTTCCACAATTGGGTGTGTCTCAGAAAGAAGGAGGTCTTGCCCAAAATCTTTCCCGGACTCAGACCCTAAAATTGCAAGAACCTGCCTGAAGGAGGGAGAAAGAACTACTGTTCGCGCCATGTTCATGACCTTATCCTTCCTTCTTGCAGATTCGGGTCCTACAACGGTCATATGCTTGATTCAAGTGATTCAAGTGAGTCAAGTGTGCCCAGGCTTCATCACTGCTCACTCGTGCATGAGAGAAACAACAAACATGGAAGTGAACTGTTTGTCAAGGAAATAACATATTGTATAATCTTCCAATGGGTCATGTTCTCCTTCCCTTTTTGTTGGAGGATAATTAAGCAGGTATACTGGTCAGTCTACAGGGTCTCTTCTCTTCACTGGCTCCACTCTTTCACCCAGCGGCGGCACCAGCCAGCCACTTCTCCCGCTTCTTGGCACGACAGAGTTCAGGAGAGCTCAGCAAGCAGCTCTCCTGGCGAGAGACGCCATAGAGCTCTCCATGGCTGTTCACCTCGCCGATGCGCCGAGGGCGGACGACTCCGAAGACCAAGGTCAGAAGCGAGCACGTGCACCCGAAGATGTGTTCAAGAGGCTCTTACAATCCAAATAGGGTGAATTCATGTGAATGACCCGTATAAAAATGAGATATGTCAAGAGTCTAAATGACTCTTCGTCGTCCACCTCAAGGCTTTGACGAGATCTCCGGCGGACGGACGTCGGTCTCCAACGGCGGACGCCGTGCTCGGGTCGGACGTACCGGTCGACGTGCTCGACTCACCGGAAGTCCTGGTATGGCCGGTAGATGTTCAGTCCATGTGATGTGCATGAATGGACATGGAAACCATCACGGTAGGCAGTTGGAAACCCTTGCAGTTCACTTCGTGAGATGATGTTCATGAGTATTCACAAATCCTACACCACCTGGGTAGGATACCCTGTATTGCACCTGTTAAACACCTGGGTGTAAACAGTGGATTTTGAAATCGCAGGTGCTTGTGTTTCCCATCACTGCTTCATCAACACTGCTGCGTGCGCAATGGCGCATGGCGCCAACAACCGACCCGACCGACCCGCCTCGTGCAGCAGGCTGTCGCATGCGCTGTAGAGACGGCAAACGGTGACGTCGGTGTAGCTCCCGGTGAAGTAGAAGTTGCATTGTGAGGAGCCCACCTGAGGAGCAAATCGACGTTTCATGGAGGCCCCACTTCACCAAGCAAACAGATTGTTTCGGAGTGTCTGGCCAAGGGTACACGAGATGCGAGGGTCTCCATGAGGGGCAAGGAAGATGGCAAAGAAACGGGATTTGCAATATGTGTTTGTCTCATCGCAAAATGCCATTGTCACATAGCAACGGCCATTGGCCTGGTGCCATCTACGGGTCGAAAGACTGTGCGGGAAAGCAAGGGAGATGAAATCTCTCATATGTTTGGCGGATCAATGGCAGGCCATAAGCAATGTAGACTCTTCATTGATAAACCACCCGCATGAAGAGGTGTTACAATACAAATGGGTGGTATGTGATTCATCAAGAGTCCACTAAACAAAACAAACTGACCGTAAATCCTGGCGAGGGCTCGCGCAACCCATCCGGTCGACTGAGGCGCCGTGTAGTCGCCGCTGCGGCAGGCCATCTCACAGCCCTCGGCACCGGTGTCCACCAAGGTCTGGAGCAAATTGGAAGGCTCACAGGAGAGACTCCTTGGTGCAGAAGCATCTAGTAACAAGTGCATCGCTAGTAGTAACAGGTGCCTTACTAGTAGTAACAAGAAGCTACCAGGAACAAGTACCACGCTATTAGAAACAAGAATTGGGCTCCGCGGGTGCTGTCGCCGAAGATGCGGTGTGCTGGGGCTCCGCTCGGCTCCGCGGGTGCCGGCGCTTTGGAGCCGTGCGGGTCTGTGCAGGTTTCTGCGCTGATGGGATCGGAATCCAGTTCCTCCTCTTCTAAAGCAATCTCAAGCACTGTATCCACAATACGTCTGACAAATCCACGTTCTCATCCCCGTCTCAAACCAGTCAGGACCAACGACGTAAGTGCACACTTATTACTGGCAAACGGAAGGCAGGAGTAGAATGAGGAAAGCTAGAGTCGTTGTTGCGGATAATAGCATGCAGTAGTTGCTTCAAAGTCTATTGATAGACAAACAAACTTGACCCGAAACAACAAAGCATGTGAAAGAACGGTCATCTTCCAGCAACTTTTTGAACACAATTGACAATTATTTATAGTTTTGGACAGGGCAACAGCAAGAGTTTGGGCTGTTCGCAAGCCTGCAGCACATCCAGGGTATGGGGGTAATACGTTGGATGAAGTCAACCGAAGCTCCAATACTTTCCCAATCGCCGCTCACAGCCATCCAACCGTTCTGTACGAGCAAATTCCCACACGGAACAACCCCGGCTGAGGCCTTACCGCTTGATCTTACAAGGGAAACTGGATGGTTATGGATGATGAAGCACTCGCATGTCCCCATTGGCTTGTGGGTGACCTGCCTGGAAGCAAGAAATCCATATTGTATTCAATATTTTTGAAGTTCCAACTGACCACCAACCCACCCAGCCTATCTCAACCCATCTGCTTCACACAGAAACCAGCCAAACCCCCAAAAAATTAAACATCTTTGAGGTCCCTCTCATGGTACCTTCTCAATCCTTCTCATCCCTCCCTCGGCTTATTTCAATTCGGACCAGTTTTCCAGAAAGCACACCCCGCAGAACACGACCGCGGTCGCAGCTCGCCCCCATGGATCTGTTCACTCCAAGACTCCCAGAGACGATCAAAAGGCTGGCGGGCAGATAGCTGTTGTCCTCGTGTGGCGCCACGAGGATCGTGGAGAAACAAAAGGCGACGGGAGACCCATCCTCTGGAGTACGGTCAGAAGCGTCAGGGTTCGGTAGAGGATACCAGAATACGCGGCCTGGTTCTGGGTGAGGAAGAACAGGGAAGAACTGTTGGTCAGAACTGTTTTGTCAAAAAAAACAACATGACCAAACATGTCCAAGCTCAATCTCCCCCAGCAAGTTCAGCAAAGCTTCTGAAGCTTGTTCGAACACTTCAGAAAGAGAGAAGCAACGCCCTCCCCCCCCAGCTCTGGGTTGCTCTCCGAGGCGCGCTCCCCGGTGGCATCGTTGCAAAGCTCCCGTCGTCCACAGGAGGGGCGTTGCCAAAGTCACCACTGAAGCCTCGCTGCGGCGTGAGCGCCGCGCGAGCGCCGAGCGCAGGGAGCGCTGCAAAAAAGGTCGCACGCGCGGGGCTCGTGGAGGTGACCAGTCGATGGGAATTGGACATGTCACGAGTTGGGCTCCAGGTCGATCGGTGAGTTCAAAAATCTTCAATTGGATTGTCTGAAGTGATCGAACTGGGTGTCATACTCGAAAGCTGTCGGCCAGACCTGAGGTGGCTGAAGTATCTGTGTCGACCAGAGCGCAGGGTGCCCACCTGCATTCACTCACCTTTCCAGACTTCGAACAGTAGACTCATGTAGATCCCAAGAGAGGTCAAGTGACCTTATTTATAGGACCCTACTGGGGGACCCATAGGATAGCCCATAGGGTTCTTCAACCTCTGTTGGGACTTGCTTGAGTCTGAGTCGATTCGACGCCCTGTTCGCCTCGCCCAAGCCTGAACCAAGTGGCACTCGCACGGTGACAAGGAGTACAAGTTCTCCACCCCCAACGGCACATTGGGATCCTCGGTTTTCGCCGTTGGGTCGAGTCGGTGAATATCGGAGACTTTGCAAAAGGCATCATCGTCCCAGAGCAATTCGGATCAATTCGGAGACATCCCACCCCCTTTACTCCTTCCTGGCCTCCTAGCGGGCGGTCCTAGCGCACAAATCCGCCCGCACCGAAGGTGCTCAGGGCGTGATCATCCGGATGGCATCAACAACTGTAAGGTCAGGTTTACCTGGGGGGGGGCCTTTTCGAGGCCAAAACCGTGAGTTTTTGATAGGTCGTGACGGCGGTCTTAAAAAAATACTGTGTTTTACAGCACGGAATGGACTAGTTACCGCGTGCGCCCGCCCGGAATCGGCAACATAAACGTTAAAAAACATTGAGCTTTTTGACATTTGGTCTTCGATTTTCGGTTTCAAGACGTTCTTTTTTTTCATGTCGGGCGGCCGGGGCACCAGATTTTGCGATTTCGGAGCTGTTTGGGTGACAGTTTTCGCCGTTTTTGCTGGGCAGAAACATTGGTTTTTGCAGTGTTTTTTGTAAATTGTCTAGGCTTGACGTCTTTGCACGAAAACGTAAAAAACCTTGCAAATAGCAGCGTTTTTGGCGGCCACGTTGTTGAAAACGTCGCAAATTGCAGTGTTTTTTGACAGCAGGCTGAAAAACACTGTAAATAGCAGTGTTTTGGGCCACGGCAAGCTCAAAAACATCGATATTTACAGTGTTTTCTCCCTCGCAATGCATAAAAACACTGAAAAAATATGGTAAAAAGTGGTGCTTTTGGCCACGGCAAGCTCAAAAACGTCGATATTTGCAGTGGTTTCTGCCTCACAGAACGTAAAAACACTGTAAAATACGGTACATAGTCGTGTTTTCGGCAACGTCTACGTCACAAACCTCGCTCCGTCAATCACGGTGCTTTGCCGAGATGGAAGAATCAAAGGGGCCATTCAACCAGCGCGTCAAACTTCCAGCTGCAGGTTGCTTAACTGCTTGAGACTCCATCTCGTAAGTTACTCATACCTGCTCTTCAAAAAAAAACTGGGATGTTCAACTCTTAACTGACTCATTACTCTTCATACCTGCTTTTGACCTCTCAGGGCCCTCTGCTCTCTTGCCGCTGATTAGCAGACTGTGGCTTAATGGAGGGGTTTGTAGAAACGGATTGAGGAGTTCAAGATTCTACGATGCCAATGTTTTGCATATATCTATTATTCTTTCGTGGCGGTGCGGGCAGACCTAGCCGCGGAGCGGCGTGAATATATAATTGAAAATGCATGAAACTGCGTTATCAGTGTGGCAAACTAGAATGGGTACCTGCAACCCCTCCTTGGTCACGAAGACACATGTCTGCCTAGTGCCTGCTTCTGAGCCCAAACATCCAAACCCATCCAGGTCCACAGTCATGCCCTATCTGTTCAGATCCATGGATACCCATGCGAGTCAAAATGACAAAGGAACAACCGGATGAGGTTTCTCTGAATGAAATAATTTGAAGCGATGTTTAAAATGCTGAAGCGCCACCTCATGGTCCTCCTTCTACCGGTTGGGTGCCGCTTTTCAGCCAATTGGTCCAAGTCCAACCGAACAGCCGCCTGGTTTTGAGATGTCAAAAGGTAGGACACTAATCCCCAAGCTAACCCACCCCAAACACCAAACTCCTACTGTTGAAGTTGAGGGAAACCATTTGGGATCACTCATGATCGCTCAACACAGAGGTCCGCCCACTACCAGGCTTTAGATGGGCATGGGATCGGTTGCCGCCAAAAAGAACAGGTGGTGCAGGCTGCAGGATTCCTTTTTTGCTTCGGTCCTTCAGTAAATGAGTCCTTTAGTAGTTGATCTGCCATCCCTCCCACCCATCCCATCTCATCCGGAGAACGTCGAAGAGGAAATCCTCAGGGTTGGTCTCCTCCTCCGCCTTCGACTTCGCAGCCTCCGCCAAGTGGCGCCGCACACTGCATGCTTTTGGTGTTCCGGATAGATGGGCACCAGTGTGATTCTTTTCTCGTGCGCGCGTGCGGATTAACGTGCAAAGACTCTCCATGGCCCGATGGGTTGTAGTTTTTTCTGTAGGCTGTTTTGATGGGAATCGACACCTGGCACACTGTTGAAGGAAGATGTTCTGGGGAAAACCCACGATATGCACGGTGATTTGGGTCGGGTGGTTGGTGCAAGAGAACTCTTCCAACAGCACCTGGTTATCGTCATCCCAAGCCCACCTACCTTCTCCCGTGAGGCTTGTCCCAAATAGACCACACCCTTTTGTTAGAAGAACATGTTCCATGAATGATGTTCCCCTGCATGCCGGACCTCGCCTCACGCCCAAAAAAGCGAATTGGTCCTATCGGAACCTCTCTGTTCGGCTCGCCCATGAGACCCCGCCTCTCGCTCGTCCAAGGGGTTGCTGCACTGCTGTGACACCGGCGAGACCAAGACCTCGTCGAAGACATCGGGAAGCTCCTCGTGCGTTCGCGGTGACCACGTGGTGCGCGTGCGGGAGACGGGGGGGGGCGAACGTTCGCTCGAAATCACGAAGACAAGAGACTCAGGGCATGTTCAGCTCTGAGTTCCCCCCCCTAAAACGTATGGAATGCAGGAAGATCTACAGGAGACTTATCGCTTCAGCTGCAAATTGCCGAGGTTCCTGTGGAGAATGTTCCACAAAATTGGTGCGACTGAGTACAGGTCAGGGATGAGTGGTGAACACTAGCGTTTGGATTTGAGTGGATCTTAGATGTCCATGTGAAACTTCATCATCCCTGGCGTACAGTAGGGGTGTCTTTGCTGCGAACTGGAGTTCAGGATTTGATCCCTCCACGATAAATCCAGGTCTCTTCTCTGCATGTCAACCTGCAAGAATACACACAATCTGCACAACCTAAAAAATTAGACCTCAGAGTTTACTACTATTTAGACTCTAAGGCAAGCTGGGTCCTTTTGTTTCTTTCCCCTATTCGCCAAAACTCCGCCGGTGTGTCTTCTTTTGCGTCCTAACCTGACCTCTCTGGAACGGACCTGGACCGCCCTCCACCCCACTCCGTTCGCGATCCAAGCCACCACCGCAGCTCCCCGGCTGGACCACAACGCCCCATACAGCGGACCGGTCGTGGGCTTCGCGATCGAGGCCACCTCACTGCCATCCAAAAACACCACCTGAGCCGTCGCGAGACACTGTGGGGCGCGGCAAGGTAAGGGGGGTGGGGGTGGGGGAAAGCAGGAAGAAGTAAGAAGTGAGTAAGTCTTTTCATGGAGGGGTTTCTACTTTCGATGCAGCTGGATGACGTTGGATGCAGGTCTCACCTCCAAAGATACCTGGTGGCCCTTCCAAACTTGAGGCCGAGGGTTGGTGACGAAAGCTAGCAGGGCGGGGGTGAAGCGGGGGATATCCGACCGAGAAAGGTAAGAAGATATAAGACCCTCCCAAACTGACCAAGTCTTCCAAATTCGACGGACCTAAAAATTGCCGAAAAAGATCGGTGCTTCTTGCTCGCCACAGGAACAGTCAGGCCCCTGCCAGCGGAAACACACGCTTCCCAGAGGCGTCCCAGGGAGGAGTTGAAGTTGCGGGGGGGGGCTTATATATGAAGTTTTCACGCGATGCGGCGCTCTCGAGGATTCCAGCCCCTCACTTGCTAAAGCAAGAACAACCCCAGCTAGCTGGTGCTAGCCTTCGTGATAATCAATAATCCATAGTCGCCATAGTTGCCATAGGCTACCTGGGGGCCTGGGAATGTATCTTTGGCTGAAGCCACCTTTCACTTGGAGCGCGCTTCTTTTGGTCACCAGTTTCTAACGCTGAATCGTGGAATCACAAGACAGTCGATTCCGTCGTGGCTGCGAGCTCAGGATCATCTCGTGCCCATCGGCGATGGTGCCCCTAATTGGCCCATGCTCCTTCGGATTCAACGAAACATCGCCGCTGCCCACCACGGGGGCCACACATCGCCCTGCTCGGGGCGTCAAGGCACCACGGAGCTTCCGACCACCTTCGCCTCGACGGTGGCGACGCTGGACATCCCGCTGGGTGCCTTCCAAAGCGGGAGACCGACCCGCGGGGTGCTCCCGCAGGTCTCGGCAGTCCAGATCCGAAAGCGAAGAAAGTGGAGTGGCACTGTGCACTGTGCTGCCTAGGTCTAGGCCCAACGTTCCTTGATCTTGTTTGGATGTCATGAAAAGCGTCACAAACACAAACGTCCCAGGCCAACAACTGATTTGTGGGCACACATAAGACATGATCAATAATTACACATAAGAGCACCAACATCTCTGTCAGCGATGGTGTCTTACACCAACATCGACTGGCAAAACCTGGCACTAGTGACGGCAGAGCCTTGCCACGGGCTCTTTAGGCTTGTCACAGGGGGAGTGCCATCTGGACAGTTCCATCACTTTGCTGCAGAGTCTGACCGCAGCTTAATCTCACCACCCGGGGCCACAAGTCGAAAAGCCTCGCCCACCTGGATCTGCTGTTGGGTGTTCTTTGTCACAACATAAAGCAGGCCATCATTGATCTGAAATCCCACGTAGGTGTTCGGAAGCGTGCTCGTCGTGGTCGTGGTGGTCGTGGTGGTGCGCCTCCTACGAGTCGCGGTGTTCGAAAACCGAGGCTCTCATCCCCCGGTCTCGATGCACCGGATCTCCCAGTGAATCATGTCACCTCCTGAGTAAGGCAAGGAAGCAGCACCAAAAGAAATGACTTGAATGAATGAGAGCAGTTGCATTGCTATCCAGGGTTTGACGGAGTGAGCACAGTTTTCGTCACAACATGCTGAGATGACCATCATGAAGAAGAAAACGTGCTGTCTTTCATCCCCGAATATAGTAGGTTAGATAGTAGAACCATATGAAACATGATTGCACCATATGAAAAGAACATCACTCCACACCCATCTCCACCCAAGCTGGACCAACTATCCGACTATCCTCACCTTCTTCTGGACCTCCTCCTCCTCCTGTTCCTCCGCCGTCGCTCACTGGTCCAGGATTGCCCCACCTTTTGTGTCGGGTGCTTTCTCCACAGATAGGGCGAAACAGCTACACCCTCCGCATGTTTCACCTTCTCTTAAATAAGGACATAGCATGGTGCATGTTTTCCTACGGGCCAACTTCACCTTCCAAAAACAGAAGCACATGAAGTTAGAATCCTGCTCGACATGTCCTCACATGGGTTCCCAAAAAGGGACCATCCAAAAGCAGTTTGGAAAGGAATGAACATGATCTTCCAGTCCAGGTCTGGTTTCCAGGCGTTCGTCTCTTCCACTGGTTTCTTTGAGTCTGTTCCATCGGTTTTCCCACCGGAAACCACAACCGAAACACAGAAAAGACTCAAAAAAGCCATCCTGGCCACTTGCTTTCGGGGACCCTTGTGGCCTATCATTTTCCAAAGTCAGCAGGTGTATCCCGCGAGCACAAATGGGCTCCCAACAGCCCCGCGGAAGAAGGAAAGAACAATAGGGACGGGGAATTACAAAGCTTGCAAAGCTGTGAAAGAAATAGGTGAAACAAAACCACTCCACCAAAAGTACATAAAAATAGATACCAGCCGAACGTACAAATAAACGAAGCATCAGACAGCACAGTAATCGAGAGTACCAAGAGCAATACCAAGAGAGGCTCGAAAGCCTTTGGGACTCGGCACAGTCCCATGCATCAGAGTGGCAAAAGGACCAGTTCTATTTACGGCGGTCTGTTTGATGTTACAAAGAAGTTGGTAGTCCGATATATCAAAAAACAGTGTGGGGTCCAAACAGCAAAGAGCAGGAATCCTTGTAAGTTTCAACAACCCAATCTGCTCGGGGCCCATTTGGCTGTCTTCCATGTCTGTCCGACAGGTTCAAAAGTACATCCATGTTCCTGCTGGATGCTAGCGTACATTCGAGCGTTGGTTTGTTCCCGAATGAACGTTCGGGGGATTCCCAAAATCCTTCTTTCTGATTTGTTTTGATATCAGCAGTAGTTAGCTGTATGCATTCAAGACTATAGAGAAGTTTAGACCTAACAATAGCGTTGAAGACTTGTGTTTTCCATTTGACACTAGTGTTAGCTTTTGACCAGAATATCTTAAGCCTGTTACACGTTGCTATGCAGCTCAGTCTATTGGAGATCTCTGCCCGGTTGTCAAAGGAGTCCGACAGCAGGGTGCCTAGGTATGTAGCAGAACTTTTCCGTGGAACCTTGGCACCTTGTGCTGGACCATTGGGTGCGCAATGAACGGAGGATTGCAGTTGGTTTGAGGTAAGATTTCGCATTTGTCATAGTTCAGTTTTAACCCAAAATATGCAGAGTGTCGTTCGATAGCATGTAGAATATTAATGCAATGAGTATTGGCACTGAAGATTAAAGTGTCATCAGCATACAAAATCACAGCAAAATGAATGCCGTGAATTGGTTGCTGTTGTCTGGGGGGTGTTCGGTTCCTGCTTCAAATCAGCAAACAATGCTCCCATGACCAAACAGAAAAGATACGGGGATAATGGGCATCCTTGACGGATCCCTGCACCTTGGCATTTCCAAGAGGAATCTTGCCCATTCATAGCAGCTATATCTTCTATCATTTCTATCTTCGAAACAATCAAAAACGTGTCCCACCTCATGATGTGAACCCAAACCCCAAGGGGTTCATGCCACGCTTCGTCCCACGCTTCAGGCGCCTCCGTGTCTTCCGCGTCCATCGCCAGGTCCTCCTCATCGTCTTCGTCCACATCGCTGGTGACCTCCGTCTCTTCCTGCATTGAGGATGACACAAGATCAATGTAAGGCAGACACCAATTGCGAAAGGCAGAAACATTCCGAAACCACATGGTAACCGTGAGAGTCAAACATCAGTGGATGTTGTGGGAAAAACACCTTGGAGTCTGAGAACCAAGCTGTCTCGTGTGACTTGCTGAGCCGTCACACGAAGGCGTAGCTGGAGTATGCTGGAGTATACTTCATTTAACAAACCACACACGCGACCAATTCACGTTGCATGGAAACCAATTCTGATGCTCTTTGACCACAAGTCTTCCCCTCCCAAGTACCCTTTAGTCCATTTTCGTCCCCACCTCGAGTAGGCTCTCTGCCGTCGCCTGCACCGGCCTGTGACCTGGCTCCGAGCTCAAGAGCACCATGTGCCTCGCAGGGCAGACCGGATCCGAAACCCGAAGAGGGTTCGCGTTTCTGAGATGGTGGTTTTTGGTCCAATACAATCTCAGCAGAACCATGTCTAGCCCGAGGCACAATTCCATGAACTAAACTGATCATTGTGGACTTCTAGCAAATTGCTCGTTTTCTGATCCCCCAAGTGGTCTCTTCTCACACAAGAGCCAGCAAAGAGTTGCTCCTGTCTTCCATTCCGGGCCCGCAAAGGATCCGGTCGCCTGACGTCGGAGGTCGTGGGCATCTTCACGCTGACGTGCTCCGTGGCATTCGCCGTATGCATGAAGGCCCACGTCCCATCGTCCTCTCCAGGCCAAGACCAGGCGGGCAAAACCCACGTGTGGCCGAGACGAGTCTTTCTTCACCAGAAATGTGGCGTGGTACGATCTGCGAGCGCTTGAAATGCCACTCTAGGAGCTTGCTGGTAACGTCATGGCAAACTAGCCTTGTTTTGGCGAAGTTGAGAGTTGAAAGACCTCTTCCGCCAGTTTGGGGCAGCGTGGATGGCATTCAGATCTCCAACCCGAGTTAGCGTGGACTCCAACCGGCAACCCCCATGGCATGCATTGCGCATGTGCGACTTAAGCACAAGCACGTCGCACCAGTCCTGGGTTTTCTTCGCATAAGACCCATGCACGAGGCCCATGCCAGTGCCACCCCAGTGTTGCTTGCCGTGTGTCGAAAGGTACTCACCTGGGACGGTCCATCGGGCGCCGCGTTCGAAGAGGAACCAAGCAAACTGACACTCAGCACGCTCAACATCCAATTTGAGAGTCACAGAGAAGTCTCATCCAACCTTGTGCGTGGAATTCTTTGGCCTACTCCGAAAAGAATCTGTTGAGCAGCACCACATGTGTCCAACAGGGGAGCTCTCTGGGGGTTGGAGCAACAAAGATTGTGGACTCCCGTTGTGGCACCGACAACGATCGGCTCAGATTGGATTTCGCACACCAAATCCTTGATGTGTGATCTAGTCCAGCCGTCTCGATCTATATATACTGTATATATATATATATATGTATATATCGGTAAACCATGACACACACATGTGTGTGTATATATATATATATATATGCAATCTGCTTCGTGTATCGTCTCCATCTCAATCCTTCGAATCCGATTCCCATCCATTGAGTATCTTCTTCCGCGGACAAGTTTTCGGGTGAACGACAACGGTTCGTAGAGGACTATCAGTGGCACACTTGTTTGCCTGACTCCTGGTGAGAAATGGGACAGGTCTGGTCATAGTCCTATAGTCCTCCCTCCTTGCCACTTCCTATCCATTCACCCCATCTTCCTCAGAACTGAGTGGCTATCCAAGATGGTGATGTGCATGCTTGAGGACATCCTGAGCTCTCCACATTGGGATTTCAGAAAGCCCAGCTGGAGTTCGAACCCCAAAAACTCGACTCGGGATGGTGATGACCCTTGGTGGTTGACAGTCAGATGCTGCGCCAGGACTCCTAGCGTCCTGGCGAGTCCTGGCGGGGCAACGGCCACAAAGCGGCGCACCTCTGAAAACGTCACATCGTCTGGGTCTGACTTTTTATGTGGTCAACGGCATTTTTACAGGTGAAACCATGTGTGAAATCCAAGTGAGTGACACCTCCGTTGTTTTGAGATAGGGGAAAACATGCATTGAAAGCCTGCTTCGGGGTCTTCCCCTTTTTTTCAAGCACAGACACACAAAGAAAAAGAAAGGAAGCTGTTGCAACTGGGCATCTCATCCAACACGCTGTCCATGATGCCGAAGGTCTTTCGCTCCGCAGACACGCCCAAGGCGCTTTGGTCAAGGCAGGCCAGGACTGTGCCTGGAAACGGAAGACATCTGATGCAAGACTGCGCCAGTCCAAGAATCCACGTATTTTTGTTGGGTGTGTAGTGGAATAGGGAGGCGAAAAACACCAAGTCACCAAGTATCACCCAACTTCCTTGAAACATGCTCAGGAACCGAAAACAAACATCCTGTAAAGGGAAGAAAAGGTTGGACCATACTACTATTGCCTACCAGGTTAGATTTGGGTTCTCCCACACCACAGGGACATTGGCTTCGATCAGCGTCAGCTGGGTCCATCCTCAGTGGCCACATCCAGCGCGTTCAATCTCGGAAAGCCTTTGTGCTACTAGATTGTGTGATATGATCCCTTCAGTTTTGCAAGTGGTTCTTGCTGCCTTCACTCCTTTTTGACCTTAGAGAAGGCCAAGAAGAGCAGTCTGACCATTGAGGCACACTGTTCCCACAGGAGCCCCCCATCTCCCGTCCGACGGACGCCTCGCATCTCCACATAGCTCCCCTCGAAGAAATCCTCACAGCTGGTTTTCTGCAAACATTGTTCCTAGTAGTAGGCCAGGAGCCCCGTTTGTAGCGTCCGATCACTCCGTTCGTAGCGATGCCAGGAGCCCCGAACGTAGCGTTTTCTGGTGTCCTTTCTGGTTTTGAGATGTGAGAATACTTGTGGCCCATTAGCCCCAATTGACATCATTGAGGGGTCAAGACTTGTGACCTTTCAAGTGCACAACCGCATGCGACCGCACCAAAAACCAAGGGTAACAAGAACGAAGATGCAAATGATGATGAAATTCAATGCACTTGGGGATGGTGAGGGTTCCTTCAGGCTAACAAACCCACATGGGATGACCAGACTTGAAAGCCGGGCTGATGGGCATTCTCCATACTCATCGGATGGGGGGTGGTCATTGGGAGAGAGATCACTCCCATACATTCCTGACCCAAATCTTCATCCTCCATCGGACTCCATCGGACTCCATCGGTCGGTCAAAATGGAAGTTTGGCAACAAAAAAACAAGAAGATGCCTCAAACCATCAACATGCACTAAGAGATACTAAAGGAAATGTCTGAATCACTTCCAACAAAGCCCAGACTCCTTCTTGCTGCTCCTCCGGATCACCCAGGCGGTGTTGTTCGGGCAAGGAGTCAGCCCCACCTGACAAGGTTGGATTCTGGCGGGTCCGGGTCTTGAGAAAGAAAAGAACAACAGAACACAAATGTGTCTGTTAGAATACAGAAATCTCTTTGAGAGCTGTTCAGGAAGCTGCTTTCTTGTGAACTGTTAACACGTTAACTTCGAGATGTCGATCCCTGCTCCGGAGAAAAAGTACGTGTACATAAGCTCCAGTCTATGGGGGCCGATTTTTGCTCCATATGTTCGTGACATCTTTCCACACACGTCCTTATGTTCGTGACTTCCAGGCCTCCCGCTCAGCCCGGAAGGGAGCCAAGTACAGCGTCGCAGCCTCCACCTCCCCAGCTTTTGCATACCTCACTCGATTGCACCAGGTGTGGCTAAAGCAAGCCGAAGAGAACGAGCAGCCAGAGAAACAGAAAGTCTGGAACTGCACCTTCCACAGGGGAGACTAGTCAAAGACGTTAAAACACTTCAAGTCCCAAGCTCAGGCTGATAAGAATCTCTGATAATTACTTGGGCCACCCTGATGACTGCACCACCACTCCGACAAGCCCAGTAGGTGCAGCATACGACCCACAAACGCAGCGGACAAGCGTAGTAGGCTGGGGCGAAAATTCATCGGGCGCGGCACTGCTCGACACTGCGAGTCAGGCCACCAAGGCAGAAGCCCATCCTTCTCGCCATCCTGCAACGGCGAAAGAACCCCCTTCAGGAGAGCAGCCCTCCGAATCACCTTCGTTGCACATGACAGGCATCGCTCCCCGAATAGTTAGTGGTGCCCTCGTACTTTCCGTGCCAATTGAATGGCTTTGGGGCCATCCACCCGCAGCTGAGCTGGTAACTCGTCTTTTTGTGAATGGTATACTGTATAACCAATCATCCTTTCTCCTAGAAGATCGAGTCGCTCAAATACTTAGCCGCTAGCCCTTTGTTCAAGGGTCGCTCAAGGATCCTACCAATGCCGCTATAGTGGTTACCTCATGATCATGTCAAGTCAGATTCCCTGCACGCATCTCTAGAGAAGCCTCGCAAGCCACCTCCCAAGGCCCCCTGCTTTACGCGCCCCCGACGTCCTCTGTAGGGCAATACTCGCCCTCCAAGAACGCGGCCCCTGGGCCCGTTTTGCGGATCATCAAGCAACTGGAGGCGCCGTCGCAGTCGTTGATGCGCACATGGGCGCGGGTGAAGTCGCTGGGAGCGCAGCCTGTGAAGTCGAACGGAGAAGAGGCACCAGCAGGGTCGCAAAGAGCAGTCAAAAGTGGCACAGTCTCAAAATGTGTTGAAAAGGAGTATACTGAAATGATGTTTTGGATACAGTTGGACAGTTGGTGTGTTTGTATTTCGAAGACCAGGGGAGACCTCCGCAAAACAAACCCATCACCCCACATCCATACCTCGACAGTCCACGGAGGTGCCAGCACTACTGGACGAGCATTGCCCGCCGCGGCAGAAGTCGTGGCACGCCTGGCGGGTCGGTGTTCGGCCGAGATCTCCTTGGGAGAGGCCGATCGTTGGATCCCAAAGATGGAGGCAAAGATGTCCATCGACATGAGCCTCTTCAAATGACATTCAAAGACATTCAACCGCCTCGAAAACGCTCAAAAATGTACTGTCCATTTCTGCCACCCCATTATTTTGTTGGCGGGGGTTCTCCAAAGTCTCTGAGAAAAGGGCCCATCAAAACCCTCGTGGGGAGTTCATGCCAGGTCATGTTCTGCCTGGCTGCCACAGGTACCACACAGCTTTGGGCCTCAGGTTTGATGAACACATCGAGCGCGTCACAGAGCATCACAGTACACGTGTAAACAGTTCAATACTGTGGACTGTTGACAGGCCTTTCCAAAAAGTTCCACTTCGTTTGAACTCGTTTGGACGTCCAGGACAGGTCTGAGCGAAAGTCCACCTCCAATTTAAGTGAAACCGTTAGGCAGAAAAGCAGGGTAATTAAAGCACCGAAATCATCAGTTCGGTTGATTACCTGGGTGAGGAGACCCATGACACACCTACACTGCTTTTGCTGAGATGTCGATCTCCAAAGCACGTCGGACGTGCTATGAGAATATACAGCCAAAGACTCCTCTCTTCCAGACAAGTCGAGGAGAAGGCTGTCAGGTCCCTCCAGACAGGCTCATGAACTTGATGAATGAAGGCAACAAAACTTCAAAGGCTGTGACTCTGAAGAATCCAAACAGAGCTGACAGCCAAGAGATGGTGCGGGTTGAATAGATGTTTCATGATGTTTCTGTAAATGTCTTGATTGGAATGTCTGGCAACCATTCGGTTTGAGGGATGATACTCCAAGCCACACGCATCGGCGCTCACCCTGCGCACTGCGTAGCACCCGCCGCTGTTGGTCTCCGCATAGGCGGCACAGCCAGCGTCCGCACGGCAGCGGGCACGGCATGTGCCGCCCAGGTGTGTTGGGAGGGACCTCGGTCTGCAAGTCCCCTCGCGCTAGAAGCCCACCCCTGTGGCGGCACATGTTTTTTTGTTTGAAGGGTCTAAATAACGTATATATCCACTTGGTACAAGAAGATCAACCCACGTGGCTTCTGAAACCTTTGCAGCGCCGAACATTTGCGGCAAGACGGCCTGGTTGTGCACTTCCAAGTCACCAAAACTGCCATTCCAACCCGAAATATCTATAATGAGGTTATCAGCCATCTGAGTGGGTGAGCGTATGGCATCAGACACCTGTATATATATATATATATGACTAGGGTGGTTATCAGCCAACTGATGTGACCCGCGTAGGGCATCGACGGAGATTTGCCAAGACACCGCAGCGTCTGCCACTTGTCGTCGGCCAGCTGCCAGCAGGTGTCATCCCGAATCACCACCTACATCGCACGTGTGAAACAGTCAGTAGTGAAGTGTCGTTCCACGTGGCTTCGACAGTTTTGATATTGTTTTGAAGCAAATCGACCCAAAGTGGTAGTGGTAAACATAGAACCCTCTTGTTGTTCTGCATTCTATTGATTCGACATCTGGAATGCATGCTAGCAGTGTAATCTTTTACAGTAGCAGCATCACTTTGGGTAGATGTTTGATGTAGATTTCAGTAGGGTGTGTGAATCCCACTGGGAGCTCTGGATCCTTCGTGATCCACAAAGGCAATTGAACTTTCACCGAATATCCTGTGAAAACTCAGATCGTTTGCTGGGTTGAAGGAAAGAAATATATTCACAAGAAAACATCTCAAAGAACTCCAGTAGGAAGCTCTTGGATGGCTTGTCACCTTGCCTTTTTTTGAACAACAGAAAACGTCAGAGCAACAGTCAAACATGCCAACGATGGCCAAAGAAATAAGAAGCTGACACCAAGAGGCAAATTGCATGAATTTCTTTGCACCTGTCTCATAGTTACTCAAGTCACTCTCATTCTGACCATTCACCAGCCCCATGTCCTGCTCCCTCAGTCTCTGTCGCCCCTCGCGTCTCTCACGGAAGTCTCATCTGAACCCACGCACCGTCTCAAGTCGCGCCTGCACACTGCGCTTCACGAACCTGAGTACCAGATGACCAAACCAACCAAATACCAAAGCAGACCTGCACAGTCCGTCTTGGCTCCGAGATTCTTGAGACCAGCACCCCCACTTAGCTATCCTCTGTGGCGGAAGAGGAGAGCAGGGAACTTGCAAGAAGACAGTCGAAGTCTTCCGGAGATGGATCAAGAAGAAGGGAACCCTCACAGATACACATGGTTCATCTTGGAATTTATGTTCACCTGGACTCGTTTCAAGGATTATCTTTGTTTGGAGTCATTACATGTCATATGATACACATAATATTGCCACTCTCACCTACGCGCGAAGACATGGGAAAAAAAAACACCCGTGGTTGTGCTTCAAACAAAGTCAATGGCAAAAGGATTGGTCATGAGTCATAAGTCATGACCGGTTTTCCAAAGAAGGATAAAGTTGTTGTTTTGCCCTCCTTTGCAAATGGAAAATCCCTTCTGATTCCATATCCCTCACCCATCCGATCTTCCGAATCGAACGGACCCGTTTGAACGCATTGAACGGACTCCAAGCGTCTGTGGCGCGCCTTGTGCTTGGAAGGGCAACTCTCCGAAGAAGCTGCAGTCCAGTTGCAGCTTGCAGCGTGCCACATTTTGGCATTGCTCCAAGACACCCATGTCTGGGATCCTCGGATATCTCCTTTGAATATGAAGCGAAGCAAATCCTCTGCATTGAGTTCTTTTCTTGCCTCAAATAGCTGATGAAAGAGTGTGACTTTCTACGATTGCTTCGACCGTTCAGCTTTTCTTTCTAAAAGCCATCGATGTTTCCCAGCAGATTGGAGATGTTTTCCAGTGATCCCTGTCACGATTGGTGTTTGGTTCTTCCAATGCAGCCCAGGCCACCCGGTGAGCTCCCCGCTCAGCATTTGCAGCCGGAAGGCCGCCTCAGCATTTGTGCCGAAACTTGAGAGGAGGGAGACACGAAAGGTAGGACAGCGGGAAGAGAAGAGAACGCGAGAGGCAGGAAGAAAAATGCAATGTTCGACATGGTGATTTATCCCCTCGGAGGCGACCTTTCGTAAATATATGTTCATATGCTTTATATGTTCAAACATGTGCTCTCGAAATGTTCAAAAAAAATCTTAGGAAAACAAACTTGCCCCATGGCTCAGATCATCGGTGAGCATTGAATCGGAACATCATAGGATTTGAACTATCCTGAAACCATAAGAGGCTCACGAAGACGCTCCCCAGGAGAGAATTGACGTGCTTCACAAAACAAACTCTAGGTATGTATCCCCTCGGGGAACACCTTTCGTGATTAGAATTTCATATTCACTCTTTCTGAATGTTCAAGAGGGTTTCAACTACCCTGAAATCATGAGAGGCTCACGAAGACGTTCTCCAGGAGAGAATTG